AGGGTTACACGCTTGGAGGGTTTAATTGGCGAGAGTGCCCATACTCAGGAGGAGGATGATGACAATGGGGACGACACGCAATCGGATGATGAGAATGTGGAGGACACGTAATCGGATTAGTGTGTCCATAGGGTTTCATATCATTGATTTAGTTGGCAAGGGTGACCATTTTGGATGTAATGTAGTCATTTTGGTACATTTAGGAACTTTACCTACATTGCATGGATCTTTTTGTACTGGATGTTCAAAATTTGAATGAATGAAATTTTCGTTTTGCGCACGTTCAGACTTGTTGGTTCTATGCATTAGTATGGGTCTTTGCATTAATATTGTCATATGTAATTTGGAAAACAATTCAACCCAAAGTACTTTAATATGGATGTTCAACATTGATTGGCGCACATCATGATTCTGGCATCCTATTTCTACGAAATCAATCCACCCCCAAGTCATATTGTATGTAGGTATTACACAACAATTCAAAAAATGCTAAAAAAATGGCCAAAACAGCATCTGCAACTGCATTACCAACTGGTCTACCCGGGTACCACGAACTGGTGTACCCGGGTAGGTTGTACTCGGGTATATCATTACGAGTTACCCGGGTAAACCAGTTGATTATGCAGCAGCAGGTGCTGTTCAATCCATTTTTTTTGCATCTTTTGAATTGATGTGTAATACAATAACCTTAACTGACTCGGAGAAAGGGTAAATGGGTATGGTAGACATTCGGATTGCACAATACGGAACGAGTGACTCGCTAAACTTAACGGATGTCAACATTTACGTTATGCAACACAAGAATACAGTTCAACAATACATTTCAACAACACAATACATAACTAATACAAGATAAAGTTTAGGGTACAAGGAAACAAAACAATACGTAAAGTGATTATCATTACAAAACAAAGTACTACACAAAAACAATACGTAATCATGCTTGTCTTAGTCTCAAAGGACATGTACGAATGTTATGTCCAACTTGCTTGCAATGCTTACATCTGCCCTGACTACTTGAGGGTTGTGACTCAACCCAATCCATCTCATTCTGAATCCTTGAAGACTTTGGTCTTCCTTTTGCACGTACCAACCGGGAATCCGGAATTACAGTAGGCCCAACAACGGATGGAATCAACAATTCATTGCCAATAGGAAACCAGTGTGCAGCATATACTTTAGCAATGGTTGGGATTTTGAAAACATGATCCACATAATCATAATGGTTTAACTTGGCTACCTTGCAAACTGCTAATACATGACTGCAGGGATACCTCCTTGCTGTAAACCTACCACACTGACATGTACGATTGATTAAGTCCACTCTCATGGTGTCACTGACCTCGTGTGTAGATTGATTGTAGGCATCCTCAACCTCAAACAATAACAGCTCACTATCATATACCCTCACACGATAAGTGCCAACCAATTCATCATTTTTTTGCAAAGCTGCCTCAACCTTCTTTGAAATTATCCAACCTTGTGAGATATCTTTTTCAATCCCTTCACGTCTCTTGACGAAATACTCAACGAGTCTACTGAATGTCATCTTGACCAATGCAGTTATAGGCAGATTTCGTGCTCCACGAAGCACCTTATTCACACACTCAGATAGGTTGGTTGTCATATGACCAAACCTACGTCCTGTCTCATCATACGACCTGCACCATTGCTCTTTCGGAATCGCATCCAACCATGAAGCAACTTCAGGATTGTTCTCGATAAATTCCTTGTATCTAATGTCGAAATTTATCTTTGAACATGTGTACCCTGCAAAAAAAACCATGACATATGCAATTGGTTAGTGAATTTCATCAACGTTTTCTTCAAATGGTTGAAAATGTGAGTAATTATATCGTACATTACCTAATTTCATCAACGTTTTCTTCAATTCCACATTCCTAAAACGGGTATTGAAGTTGCTTACGATGTGACGTAGACAAAATACATGATAAGCATATGGAGGCTGCCACCCTCCGTGATCTTTCACCGCCCTTATGATGCTTCGATGACGATCAGATATTAGACAAATACCATGCCTATGTGTGACATGAAAACGTAAAAGGATAAGAAACCAGGACCAATCATCCAACCTCTCACCTGGAGGAACAACAGCAAAGGCAATAGGGAGCAGAAATCCATCTCCATCCTGAGATGTTGCAATCAAGAGAGTACCTCTGTACTTCCCGAACAGATGAGTGCCGTCAATTTGAATTATAGGCTTGCAGTGTTTGAATGCTTCAATGCATTGGTGAAATGTCCAAAAAACCCTTTGAAATACGGCCCTGTCTGTATAAACCCGACGTTCATCAAAACATTGATTTGTATCAAGCTTGAACACAGAACCCACATTCACCTCCGTCATATACTTCAGCCAATTTGGCAAGAATCCGTACGATTTCTCCCAGTCACCAAACAACTTAACGATGACCTTCATTTTTGCCTTCCAGGCCTTCTTGTATGTTATGTTGTATCCATATGTTCCCTATATCCTCTCCTGTATCAGAGCTGGTCTTGTGGATGGATCTTCCTTTAAAATATCTGGAAAAAAAAAATAACTTTACCATATTCTCAATTAATCTGAATCATTAAATACACAGTAGAATACATACTCATTATAGCCGCACAAATGACATTTGAATCCAACTGTCTATGATCCTGTGATATGCCTTGATTTAGGCATGTGTGACCTTGACCCCATTTACGGACCACCCAATTAGCTCCCTTCTTCGGCTTAATTGCCCTCATATACCAGGGACAACCGTCAGCATGGTTTTTACACTTCATAACAAATCTTGACTCGTCGCTTTTTTCAACTATAGTTGTCCTGCGCCCCTTCATACAATGTATCTTCACAGCATGTTGCAATTCTGGTTTGGACCCAAATTCTTGTTGCACAAATAACGGATCTCCTAACTTCCAACCTCCGTGCAAGTCATCATCGCCATATAGGATCTCCAACTCGTCATTAGGGTGCGCCCAGTTAACGAATGAATAATGTTGGCTTTCATTCCAGAATGGCTCCGCCTCGGTCCCTGCATCTAAAGATCAACTCTCATTTGTCTGAATGAATACCACCACAAATAATAAATTGTCTAAAGAAAATGTTCAAATTTAATAACTTACCACTACTGACTGGGTCGACATGGAGTGGTGACAAGGCTGGGGTACCCAGACTTACGGCGCTCATGTCAGCCTCAAAATTTCCCTCCACGTCAGTGTCTGACGAATCACCTTCTGGAATAGCACTTTTAGGTTCTCCCTCATCTTCGCTGTCCACATAGTCCTCGTCTTCATCCTTTTCATCCTCATCCAATGCTACCTGAGGAGGTGCAGAAGATCGTACAACTGTATCTTCTTGACCGGTACAGTGTGCAGTAGTGGTTGTATGCACCGGTAAAGATGAAGATTGACCAGCATCAACTTCAACATATATCTCAATATATTTTAATACTTTCCATTCAACAAACGCATCTGTTACGAACTCCACATCTTCATCATCATTTATATCGTTTCCAATGTAGTATATTGTATCCATATCCACTACAGTCTCTAACCTGGCTATCATGCGGTGGATGGAATGGATGCCTTCTGACCCCATTTTTTGAAGAATTCTCTCCTTCAGTTCATTGCATGTAGTGCCCACTTTGATTTTCATCGTTTTTGTTTTTCCTTCAAATCGGACACCGTTCGGACCTTCAAAATGCCTCCCATTGTAGTAAATAACTATAGGAACCATGTTTGGACTTGAACTCATCTTTCACACAAAAATTAGATCTAGGTTTTGGGTTTGGAGGTTGGTTCGGATTTTTGAGCACAAAATAGGAGTGTGGAGATGTAATCTCAATGTCCCACCAAGATTAAGCTTTCTGAAATGATGAGATGAAATATGTGTGATGTTTCGGATTAGAGAGGGTAAGGGAGAGATATTTGGGGTTTCAAAAACCCTATACCTCGCAACAATGGCCGAAACCCATACATATTGGAGTTTCTGGACGCGATTTACCCGGGTACACTCCTCCCTACCCGGGTAAATATTTCAACCATTTTCCCAGATTCAAGAACTCTACCCGGGTACACCCCTCCCTACCCGGGTATGTAAGGGTGTACCCGGGTAGGCTTCGTGGTCAACGGTCAAACAGGGGCAGATTGGTGTTATGTTTGTTGGGAAGGTTAAATTTTTGAAATAGTTTTAAATGAAGGAAAATTTGGTAATTAATTATTAATTAAGGGTCATAAGGGTCAAAAAGCTCATTATATGAGATATCTGGAAAATTTAGATAATTCATAATAGTTACAGTGGGGTTTAAATTCTTTAGAGAAAATGACCCAAGAGTTTGACTCCTTTTACAGTTTTTCATTTTAGTTTGTATAACTTTTTTAACCAAGCAACCCAAGAAAAACACATAATTAACTACAACTAAAGAAGCTTTTGATTTCTGTTCGCGTATTAATTAATCAAGTATCTTGTTAAATCAACATATAATCTTATTAAAAACCAATAATCCATCAATATTTGTACCTGGTTTACTATAAATAAATTGATGACCAAAAAAAAGTATTAGTTAAATTAATACACAAATTGAAATAGAACACTTCTTTATAACCTAAACAAATGAATCAGAGTAACTTTACTACAAAAAATTTCGGATTTAGATAGAATCTGTTAGTACTTCGGGACCCATTACGAGACACCTAGATCATTTCACTAATTAATAGATTTAACTTTAATAGTCACCAGTGAAAAACTTCTTTACACTATCATATAACCATATATTACCAAATCACTAAAAAAGTTTGACAACTTCTACCACTACTTAAGGAAGTCTAATTTTTTTCTCAATACATTGTTAAAATGATATTGTAAAAACTTTATACTTACAGTACATCAAATTTAAAATCTAAATCAATTGTATCAATTCTAATACAATATTGAGCACCTTTTGATGTGCAGCTCAGAAACTCAGTGAGGAAATTTTTAAGAAATGCATAATTCCACTTGTATTCCTCAAAAAGCAGAAAATTGATAATGAACTTCTGATCAGCATGCATGACAAGTTTTCCTACATGTACCATAATAATCAGGAGACCCAATCATGTACACAGGATTTCTTTGACATTCTCCCATGGCTGCCCAAGCAGGACAATTGTCATCCTCATCAGTACATTCACTACTATCTGTTATGGTTGAGACCTTCCCTTCACTAATTGATCTTGCATAGAAGAATTTAATTGCAGACCACATATCACCCTTAAGGACAGGGCATCTAGCATGGAGACTACTCTTATCAGGAGATGCATTTAGGTGAAGAGAGAAAAACAGAATTGCATTCCCTTTAACTGGTTGGAGAATCTTACTACTTTTCTTACAATTTGACCACCAGCTGCTACTCTTGGGCTGAGAATACATTGGACATGATTAAATAGTATAAAGACAGGTCCAGATTGAGGTAAGAAATAAATAGCACAAAGAAGAAAAACTGGAATGACCTCACTCACCTCAGATTCAGGAAAGAGAATTTGACCCCCTTGAGTAGCATTTGAGAGATATAGAACAACTGTTGCCATTAAAGGTCCACTTAATTCCAATTTGGTTTTGTTTCTAAAATAATCTAAGTTCTGCCCATCCTGTTCAAGCCCATAATGCATGATCTGCAAAGGCCTGCTGTTCTCTAGTGGAAATGATTTTCAACAAACAAAGACAATCATATATTAGACCGTGTATCACAGAGCACCGGTAGACAAATACTATCTAGGACTGAACTAATAGATACCTTTAGGAAGGAAAGTCCAAACTGAAATTCTTTCTTCAATCCTTGCAACAATATCATCCTATGACATAACAATGTAGACGTCATCATAAAATCTTCACAATATCTATTACCAAAAAACATATGTTCACAATACCATGCCTATAATCGCAATAAACTGTTTGAGGTCAAGCAGCAAGCTTAAAACAATAAGCAATTGCAGCGCATTGGCCATAGGAATCTCATCATGATCAAAATACAGTTTTAAAAATGACATAAAATTTTCGAGTTCGGTATAACATAAACATTGATGTAAAGGATCCCAATTCTTTTATATTAATATGGATATTTTAATACAATTTTAAGCTTATAGTTACAACCAGAAGAATTGTGAGCAGTTAGAACTTAAAAGTATATACGAATTGAGGCACTCTATAAGACATGTTTTACTTTTTCCAAATTTTGGAATCAACTCCTTTGGGTAAAGAGGGTACAGGATTTTTGCCATAACCCCAAGCTAAAGCCTGACAGTTTGCTACCCGAAGTAAACCAATATTTAAAAAAGAAGAAGCAAAATCGATATTATATTATTGTTGTTGCAAAACCATTATTTAATATGCCTTATAAGTTATGATTGATTAAGTATTAAAGGTTAAAAATTATTAAAGGAAAATGTGAGAAGAACACTAACATGATGAATATCTCTAACACGGACTTTTGACCTCTTGGTCAAAAGGCTTTGGTATTAAATTAAAACTAAATCAACCTAAGACTTAAGCTATCAAGCGCAAGCTTTGAAATATATCTCTAACTAATAAAGGAGAAGCCAAAGCTACTAGGCAATGTCCAGTAGACAAGATTTTATCGTTCAGAATCTCTTCACATTGGCCTAGTTTAAGTTATTATTTAAGTGGTCTGAGGGAGGAATGTCCATAGACAAGATTTTCACAAAAGGCAAATCCAGAAGAACCTACCCATACACAGCATTTCACAATCAGTGAAAACAATGAATAGCATAGCAATCAACCAAAACAAGTCCTTTATATGCAAACATCTTTCAAAGCGCAGAAGCATAGTCCAACTATAACTACCAACTACGAATAGAACCTAATTTGCCAGTGCTTAGTTCATCCAAGCAGGTACAGAGTATGTTCAGACTCACTTCTTTATCCAATGAAGTTTCAACCTCCTCTGAATGGCCATCATTCCCTGAGGTTTTTTCTTTCACAGCATGTGCCTAAGCAAAAAAAGAAAATAATGGGTCAAATTCAAAGACAGATAGATAGCACAAGTGCTAGGAACCAATATGAAAACAAACCAAAAAAGAAACATGTCATACCAGAGAAATAAGGTAGTCACACTCCTTATCTGACAAAAAATCTTTGTATAGAAAGACCCTATAGCATCAGGGGCAACATCAGAATTTGAAAAATTAAAAGCAAGAAAAAAAAAACAGCTAGTAAATAAGCAATTAAATTAAAAGTACACAATAGAATATTTGCACATGTTAATCACAAACACAATCATTCCACATAGAGACTATGGATCCGTTTGATTTGCTAAGAAATAAGGTAAAACACAAAAAAAAAAAAAAAAAAATTGTACTTTGTTTGATTGTTAATTAGTACTAGACAAAATGTAACTCAAGCGACAATACAAATTTTTAAATTTTTGTTACCCACTAAAGGGAAACGCAGGGTAGATTGTATGCAAAAAAATAATAAATAAAATAAAAATAAAAATAACAGCTAACACTCATCATCAAAGCTTAATTGCATGCAAAACAATTCACAACCTATGACTATATATTACATGAGGAATGATTTAAGGGAAAAGTCACAGAAAGTACCTGACCTTGGTTGCCATGAGATTTGGACAACACGTGATGGGTCAATTCTGTTGAAATAGTAAATTGAGTGGTTTAACAGCTCTACTGCATTTTCCTGATTTTTCCTTAATTCTTTCCTGCTGCTAATGCAAAATTAACAAAAGCCAAAACAAAATTAACAAACAACAATACAAAAATTCAAAGTATTAGTAAGAAAAACTGTTAAAGCATTTGACTCCATCCTATTATTCACATTATCCCTCACACAACAAAAGCCATTGACTTTTTTTCTCTCTTTCTTAATTATAACAAAATGATATCAAAATATATTGGTGAAAAGAGAGAAATGGGTGGGCATTTATGTAATTTACCTGTCCGAAAAAGACACCGAGAGCAGTAACAGGGTGAGAAGAAGGGAAAGGGAGGCCATTGATTGTTGAAGAAGAAGAAGAAGGAGTGGTTGAACGGAACGGAACGGAATCGAAGATAAACGGAACGAAACTGCTTCAAGCAAATGCAAGTTTTCTATGTATCGAGAATCTGTAATTGGAAAATTCCATTTTGCAGTGATGTGATGTGATGTGATTCATGCATGCTTTTCTCTTCGCTGCTTGCTTTGTTCCTTCGTTAAGCTGTTTGTTTTTTCTTTCCCAAATTACCTCACGTTATTCCCTTTTGTCATTTAGTAATTATTTGTAAGTTTAGATAAAAAAAAAAAAAAAAAGTATTTAAGAAAACTTAAGAGAATGATTAAAATATTTAAATGAGAAGGGCATAATTAAATGAAGTAAATTATAAAAATTAAAAATTAAAAGAACATATTAAGAACTATAAAAAAAATGCACGATTAATTTGAAAGAATTTAAATTTTGAAATTAAAAAGAAGAAAATTCATATATCACAAGCATCATTTAATCACTTTTAAGAGAATGATTTGATTGCTAAAATGTTGATATTGTTAATTAACTAACTAACCTAAAAAGATCAAAATCACTTTTAAGATTATTTATTTATTACATATTTTATTTCAGATTATACTTATTATTTACAATCTCTTTTTTCTTATAAATACTTTTTATTATCATTGGATTTAAATTAAATTAATAATCTTAAACACACAAAAAATTAAATTCATAATTACAAAATAACATCGAATGATAATTATTGATTTAGTTTTAATAAAATAAATTAATTCTTAGAGATTGTAGGGAAAAAAAATTATGAATAGAGCAACCTTTGACTTATTTAACTTTGGAAGGATTGATATAGGCTAAAAAAAGAATACTAGAATAAAGAAGATATCATTCCAAAGATGAAGAAAACAAAACATGAGTTTATATATATATATATATGAGAAAAACATTTCTCAATCAGCTTGAGATAAATTTTATTTCCGGTCACCCCAAAATCACGTCGTTTTATTTATTTATTTATTTATATTTATTGATTTCTCTTTAAATGGTTAGATTCTCTTTTTCTCTCTCTTCCTTTATCTTCATTGATCCATCTTTGTACGGTTATGATTTAGTAGCCAGAGATAAAATTATCTCAAGCAGCTTGAGTCTTGAGAAACGATAAGCCCTATATATATATATATATATATATATATATATATATATATATATATATATATATATGTGTGTGTGTGTGTGAAAAAAAAAAGACAATGGTCATGTGAAAAATCATAACCATACAAAGGTGAATCAATGGTGATAAAGGAAGAAAGAAAAAATATTATAATAGGTAGTTATAAAATCATGATAACCATTGGTTTATCTTTCTATGAGTGTGATCTTTCCACCTAATCATGTCATATTTTTTTCCACATGAGAGGATCAATTTTCATATATATGGGCATTATCAACTTACATCGATGTAAGAATAATAATTCTTACATCAAATCTTAACCGTTGATTTTTGTGAATCTGACGATTATAATTTATTAGGAATTAATAATTAATTAATAAATATGACCCAATAATTATAATCGTTATTTTCACTGTAATCAACGGTTAAGATTTAGTGTAAGAGTTATTATTCTCACACGGGAGTAAATTGATTTTATCTCATATACATATATATATATATATATATATATATATATATATATATATATATATATATATATATGAGGTAGGATCATTTGACACCGGTGTCAAATTTGAAGTTTGACACCTCGTCTGAGAGCCATTAGATCAAAAAAGATCTACGACTCTGATTTGTAAGCATGTGACACCGTTGATCTTTTTTTATATAATGGCTCTCAGACGAGGTGTCAAACTTCAAATTTGACACTGGTGTCAAAGGATCCTACCTATATATATATATATATATATATATATATATATATATATATATATATATATATATATGAGGTTAATATTTCTCCAGCCGCTTGACGTTCAGCAGTCAATTATTTACCATATATATACGTGACAACATTAAATGTGATGAATCATAACTATGAAAGTATTAAATGTGGAGAATCATAATATATACTTGTCATTGCTAGACGTCAAAAGGCTGGAGAAATGATTTTCCAATATATATATATATATAGGGGTTTACATTTCTACAGTTGCTATACGTGGAACAATCAAATACTTGCCATATATAAATTTAAAAGCATTAAATGCGGGGAATCATAACCATACAAAGGATGAAAGCATTAAGTGTGGAGAATCATAACCATACACCTATCGTTGATTTATATATATGGAAAGTTTTTCTCTTCATTTTGGGGTTTAGTAAAAAAATTATAGGATATTTTAAAAATCTTATTTTCCTCTTATATCATAAATTTTACTAAAATATCCTATATTTCTTTTTTCAAAAATCCAAAAGGATGTCATTTTGAAGTTTAAAAAAGAATACAGGGTAGTTTGAAAATTTTATTTTCCAGTTATATCATGAATTTTACTAAAACACCCTTTATTATAAGTCATATTTTAGGAATATAAATTACTTAATTATATATATAGGGAAAAGTATTTCTACAGCCACTTTAGATAAGGTTCTCTACAGCTATCCCTTTTTAACTAAGTATGACCGGTCATACTTAGTGAAAAAGGGGTAGCTGTAGACAACCTTATCTAAAGTGGCTGCAGAAATGTTTTCCCATATATATATATATATATATATATATATATGGGAAAAATATCTATCCTTTTAAAGGATATAAGTTTATATCTTTTTAGATCCTAATCATTGATTTCTGTCCATCAACGGTTATAATTTATTAGGCCAAACTTAATGGGCCAAATTTATTATTAATTAATTAATAATTTTAATCCAATAAATTATAACCGTTGATGGACGGAAATTAACGGTTAGGATCTAAAAAGATATAAACTTATATCCTTTAAAAGGATAAATGTTATTCCCTATATATATATATATATATGTGTGTGTGTGTGTGTCAAGATCATTTTAAACTTATACGTGTACCCCAATAATTATAACTGTTAATATTTAGTTGTAAAAGATTATAAGCAAAAAGAGGTGGTAAATGTAATCTTCTTTATTTTGAAATTTTTATTTTCCTCTTATATCATGAATTTTATTAAAATACCCTCTCTCTTTTTTAAACATCAAAAGGACTTCATTTTAAAGTTTAGAAAAAAATCAGAAAAATATTTCTGCAGTTACTGCAGATAAGTTATCTGCATTTATTTCCAAAACGACATCATTTTGAAATTAAAATATTAAAAAATTATAATTATAAAGACTATAACAATCCTGAAATAAATTAAAATTACAAAAACATCATGATTTCCGTCCCAAAACGACGTCATATTAGACTTACTGTAGATAACTTATCTACAATAACTGCAGAAAAAGAGAACCGAAAAAAAAATACAAGATAGTCTGGTTATATCATAAAATTTACTAAAATACCCTTTATTATAAGTCATATTTTAGAAATATAAATTACTTAATTTATTCAATGAGATTGAATATACTAAGGGTTTTTTTTTTTTCCTTTTCCTTCTTGATTCCCAGCATCTTCTAACAAATTCATCAATCTTCATTGGAAGTTCCATCTTTTAGCCACAGTTAGACATAAAAAATCACAAAAGAATGAAAGAATTTTGCTTTTCATAATATATATATGAGAAATATTTTTCTTATGTTGATGTAGATAAGGTATCTCATGTTGGTGAAACAAAATAATAAGACGGACCCATAAATGATTGGAGAGAAAAAAAATAAAAGTGAAACCCACATTTGTTACGTGTGTATAGGAAAATGGGTTATCTCATGTTGAATGAGATAAATATAACTCTATATATATATACTCTGATGTCTTCTAAAATGACTTATAAAGGCATGTTTGAATTGTTTTTCCAAAAACAGTTTTCTAATTTTAACAATAAAAGAACAGAAAAACTTGTTTGATAAAGACTCTTTTTTTTTTTTAAATTATAACTGTATTTTAATTTTTAGAATCAAATTTAGATAATATATATAAGCTGTTTTTATTTTGAGTTTTGACTTTTAACTTTTAAAATACAAAAAATACAGAAAACACCTATTTTATAAATTATTCTGTAAAACAGTTTTAAGAAAAAAGAACAAGAACATCATAAAAAAGTCCCTTAATCATTATTTCTTCAGCACCATGTGTCCATGTTCATCGTTATCAAAATGACTCGCCTTGTGATATTTTTTAGCTCTCTTCTCCTTCCTCACCAAAAGTGCCATACTGTGATGGTGGTGTATAAGCATGTGGAACATCTAATGTTTTAGCCCTTTGTAATGCTGCTTTATATTCATCACTGTGTCTAGTTAGTGTTTCTTGACGCTCCATCTTTTGCTTTCCAGGGATTTCCATGCTATGATCTTTCTCCAGCATTAGCTGCGGATGATAGAAGCACAAATGCAAAGGTTATAACCCTCGTTACACTAAATAGCATGCCAAATTAGTGGAACATGATTCCTTATACTTTATGTTTTGTGGAAATCTATATGCATATCTATAAGGACAGCACAAGTAAAATAACAAGGAAAAGGGAGAGGCACAGTAGACGTATACAAAATTGTTATTACTATCAAAGTACAGATTCCTCATAGTTCATATTTTCCAATCATTTCAAATCAAAAGTGCATTGGGTAAACAGGACCAAAAATGAGCATGTGCTTGCATCCACAGCCCTAGATAATTATGGTTGCACAGGGAAAGATAAGGGCAAACCTTGGTGGCTGGTGCAGAAAGGTCCCTGACTTTGCAAAGGTAGGGGTGAAGATCAATTATATGTAGTCTTATTATTGCATTATCACAAGGAATGATAATAAGGGCAAATCTCGGTGCACAAGGCTTCTCGGCTTGTGAGAGTAGAGCTGAGGGTTGATCGTACATAGTCTTACCTTTATATTTTAGCGAAGAGGCTATTTCCCCGACTTGAATCCATGACCTTCCCGTCACAAGATGCAACCTTACCATTGTTCCAAGGCTTGTCCTCATACCAGAGGGAATGATAGAAAGACAAAAATCTAACTAATTCCAAAAAACACGATAAACAATTACAAGGCTGACAGACTTACATCCAGAGCCCTCTGGGCTTCTTTCTCTATCCAAATGATGGCATGATCAGATATGGCATTACAAGAAAGGACTATATGCTCAAATCTTCCATCCACTGGCACTGCTGTCCTGACAACTGGGGGAAACCTTCCCATTCTGCATATAAATGATGTTCAGGAATTCAAGTGAGGCCAAAAGAAAAGGCTGTATGAAAATTTTCTTAAGATGACCATGTTAATATATTTTATCATGGAAGAAACAAGAGAATAAAACACATGCCAGACAATCAGCACAAGACATATAAGCTCTGTTTTGTTTCCTTAACCATACCTAAAAGGCTTTCTCTCAACAATGTGATAAAGGCGACCGGGTGCATAGAGTCTCCTTGGATCTTTGAGCATCTTATCCTCCGGTATACATGTATCCCTCATGAACCTCAAGCACAATAGGCATGGCAAACTGCCAGCCAAAGAAAACAACTTTTTTTATCAGTACCAATTATCATACCATGAAAACATTAGTTACACAAACAATAATTTTCCCTAAATGCTAGCATCACCTTATCAATGAAGTCTTTTTCCATTCAAGTATAGAGTTTACAAATTATGCTACTGCTAAAATGCAATAACCTTCTCTAAAATACGCACAAACCATTTTTATATAAAATAAAATAAAATAAACTTCACAAAAATCAGGGTTATATTAGATTTTTTTATTTTTTGGATTGAAAAACATGTCTATATTAGTTACTCATACTAAGTTGTGTTGAAACTTGACCTGGGGATTAAAAATACAGCATATACTTAAGTATGCTAAAACATTCTTCAGCCTTGTATTGAGAGTAAGAGAGCTACAATTACATAGGTCCTTAAGACATACCAGAAAAGAGACTTGAATATATCTTCCAATGGAGTGGCTATCCTTGGTAAGAAGTCATCCTGATCGTGGTAAAGAGTGGTCATTTTCAGAGTTGCAGATTCAGTGCGCATCAAGTACAAAGAAACATTAAGAAAGATAAGAGTTTGTGATGCAGCTTATTCTCAAAGCTAGTAGGCTAAAATTTAAAATTATCTTAAGAATATATATATATAAAGTTTAAGCAATATACTACTTAAAAGAATAAATCATTGATAAATTCATTATGTTCCATATGAAACAGTCTATATACAAATATTTGTCCTGTGTTGAACAGACTAATACTCATGCTAGCCCTCCATAAATTGTTTCTCTCTTAACACATGAATGAATTCGATCATCTCTCTCACAGAAAGCTACTACTATAGATATATTACTATTCGAAATACAGAGATACCAATTACCACAAAACTATTCATACAGATGAAGCAAGTTGAATGGTAACACTAAGAAACCTGAAGGTGTTTGTACCAAAAAAAAAAAAAAAACCTGAAGGTGTAACTCATCATTCAGAAAACAGAAAAATTTTCAAGCAGAAATCTGTATGCGAGTCTCTGAAACTGACAAAAAATTCTTCAAAAAGAGCAAAAAATATATAAGTTATATTGTACTTTGAGGTTATTGGATTGGGACTCTTCATTTTTCATTCCTTTACCCGGTTTGTATGTTTAATAAAAAATGGAGCCATTCAAGTAAGGAATCCACACATTCTAAATTTTCCCTCCACTTTGAAGAATATATTCTCTTTATACACAAGGCAAGAACTTCATACAAACAAACATCCATAAAAGGCAAATTAAAACAAACTACCTTCTATTTAAACCCCGACTAGCGAGGGTAGGGGTGATGCAATCTTATTATACAGTCTTATATTTGCATATTTGCAAAGAGGTTATTTCCGAAGGTGAAGCTTTACCACTGCTTCCCTAGGCTTTACCTTCTATTTATTGCTAACAAATCCTTTAATCAAAAGGATTTCCGCTATGTTAGACTTCTGTGTGATAGTATATGTGCTTTGACACAGGATTCATCAACCAACCAAATGAAACATATAAGATTTGATAACTTGCCTGCAGCACAACGGAGTTGATGACATCTGCATATCTGACTGCCAAATTCAGCGACATACACCTAGCCGGTGCAATGGCATAGCACCTGACCCTCTTCCTCTCAATATTTCCCACTCTATCTCTATTCTTCACCACCACCAAGCTCAACATAGCAGCAACACCAGATCCAAGTGAATGTCCAACAAAAGTCAAAGTATAATCTGGGTGCTTCTCTACCAACTCCTTCAGAACTTTACATTCAGCATCCAAAACCCATTCAGCAGCCTTCAACAACCCATTATGCACATACCCCCCATCAAACTTTTTCTTCCCCAGTCTATTGTCCAACAGAACTGCATAGTCACTCTCCTTTGCCAAATTTAGACCCTTAATGGCAAGAACTATATCAGCATGATCATGATCAAGATACAGTATATATGGTGGAGCCTTCCCTTTGGTATCTTCATATGTCATTTTGTGTATTAACCAATCAGGGTTAATTCCATAGCCACCAAGAGGTGCCCGAATGGGGTGGCGAAGATCATCTTCATACACAGCTAAAATATAGCGGCAAAGGCGAGGGATTGGCTCAAATTCTTCTGCAGTGGCAAAGCCCCAAGTCTCACTGTCATGGCCTGCAGTATGAAGACATCTTTCCGAAGCCCAACGAGTACAAGCCAGACAGTACACACACTCAACAAGAGGAATGCAAAACATGATTGACATTGTTCCTACACCCTATGCATGCTAAGCTAAGTAGGCTTAAAACTAAATTGGGTTTTGCACCAAATAAAATTCCTAAATGCAATTAGTTTCTTTTACATAAAAGCTACTCCTCTGTGACCAAAAGTTTAAAGGTTCGAATTCAGTAAGCAGTTTCTTTGTAAAGACGTAAGGATAAGGATAAGTCTATGTACAAGGATTGTCTTCATCCTACATTTGCTAGTGGGGAGTAATTTTATTGACTTTCTTATGCAGAAACAAATGTCAAAATCCACAAAAGGAAATTGAAGTTTAAACTTAAATGGTACATATTATTCTCTTTAGTGTATAACAAATTGAACACATAAATTGTAAAAAAAAATTAATTCAACTCAAAAGTTTAAGTTATTAAGTGAAAACCATCAATGGTTTATATACTTCTCTAACAGGCCCCCTCACACAATGGCTCACTTGGCATGAAGGGTAGATAATGCATAGACCCACCTACCTGTACTGTAACACCCCGTTCTAGAACCGGATTGTTATCATTGCGTACGGCATTAAGCGCAGTTACAATCACATTGGTTCAATTAGAAAACCGGATAAATTTTTCCTTTTTATACAAGCCGGATTCAAATAACCAAGTGCGTGATCATAACTATATATACTTCGCGGAATAGTGGGACAAAACTTAAGATTATATTCCCATTATACTTGACAATACTTCGTGAAATGTCTTCATCACTTTAATTATCAAATTAATTCTAAACTCCTTTTATGATTCCCATCTTCTACTATGTTATAGTATTTTTCATTAGCTACGCGTGGGTTCAAACCGCGCTCAAATCGGAGCACCGTAGCCAAAGTTATGCACTTTTTAAGAAAAGGGTGCGAAACCTCCAGAACCCCCGCGCCCGCAGCGTGAAATCCACGCTCAGAGCGTGGGAAAACAGAAAGTTGGCGCCCCAAGCGTGAATCTGGCGCCCCAAGCATGGATGCTACTGTCTGATCTCATAATTTGGCGCCCCAAGCGTGAATTTGGCGCCCCAGGCGCCATCCACAGGGCTGGGTGACCCAAAACAAGGTCATTTAACCTACCTATGGTTTTCCACTCATAATTTGAGCTATACTCACTCAAATTACACCATTTTGGTCTCTATGGAAAGCTAAGAGGAATGTCTACCACTTCCATAGAGACATCAAAGTCCAATTCCATCACATTGGGTATGAAAATTGGTCAAACGGACAGGATGTATTTGTTTTCTCAACATTTTCCAATTTAGCACTAGGTACCTAATTTAGTTTCCAGTTCAACAATCCAATACTTAATGAACATACATATATTAAACTCAAAGTACTCATCAATTACACATCATGTTCATTACAATTCATGGAACTTAGCTTACAAAACACTATGATCATTCCCTTGGCTCTCATCAACAAAAGAGATGACCAAAGGCATGAGCATAGGCTAAGTCCATTCCAATATACAATTCATACATCTATCAATGGTCTATGAATTACAATCCTATACATGTGAGCTACAAAACAACATGTACAATCTCAAAAGAAATGCCACATTTCATGCATAATCCAGATATGGCCACTTGCCACCAGAGGCTCCTGCAGCATCCTTACCTGAAAGGGGGTCCCCACAACACGGGGTGAGATATACAAATATATCCAGTAAACCAGGGGTCCTTGGAGCATCTCTCCACCCCACAGTTCCATATCAGTGTAATAGCAATAACAATAATAATGCAGTAAATACATATCTATGCAAAGTGCAATACATCTCCAGGAGAAATCCCTCGAGCTCTCAAGCTGTCCTAAGGAAACTCAGATGCAAATAGTCCTACTGGCCAGCTAACTACCAAGTATGATTTACGCATCGTCATGCCACATACCAACATAGGGAAACACCATCCTATGCCACACCAAATGCATACACATACGTATAACAAAGCATTACACTATTTTATTGCATTTATATACACAATCACAACCTCCACCCTTTCAGGGCTTGGTAGAACAGTCAAAGGAATTACACCCAAGGTCCGAAGGCTTACCTCAAGCTTTAGCCAACCTTTGTTCCCACCAACAGTTTCTGCAACCAGTTACAATTATCCACTCACCAAACAAAACCTACACAAGGTTTTATGCAATTAACACATATTGCATCCAATCACATCTCATAGCTATCAACCAAGCTATACAATTCATATCAAACATAAGCATGAACTTACCTATCCAATGGAGCTAATCAAGCTCCATAGCTTGCTCCAATGGTTGGTCTCTCAAGGTTGGTCCAATTGCCTCAATCCTAGACAACACCAAGGCATAATCAACAACCAACCAAACCATTTATTAACAAAGCAAGAAATCTAATCTCTAAGTGTCATATTCTTGCCATTTTCCAAATATACTCACTTAGCTATCTAAGCTCATTTTCACCGATTAAATGTCGTTCCTAGCATTTTTCACAACATGCTCTAAGCTCCATTCTTCCTAGAACATAGCTAATTTAACAACATTTCATCAAAAACCCTAAAACACTATTCATAAACCCTAACTCATGCAATTTTCCATGAAAATAAGGTTCAAGGGGTAGAATCTTACCATCAATGGTTGCACAACCAAGCAAGGAGCGCTCCTCAAGCTCCCATGGAGGTAGAAATTCCCAAAACCCCAAAATCTCACAAAGGGCCGAATTTTTGAGAGGCAATATCTCTCTCCGCAATGCTCCCCACTCAAAACTAAGCTAGGATTATGAAAGAGGGAAAGATTTAGAGTGGTTTAGGCTTTTGAATCACCCAAAACGGTTGGGATTTGCTCCCTCCTCTCTCTCTTCTTCTCTCTCCCTTTCTTCTTCTTTTTTTTCTTCTTCTTCTTCTCTATTTTCTGGCGTAGACGGGTTTGGGGAGGGAATTGGGTTCCTTTAGTTACTTTATCACTTAACATAGGTTAAGTGGTAACATGTGGGTATTAGTTCGTCTATCTATTCAACTCCATTAATTACCAAACTTTACCCAAAAGTCTGGAATTTTATTCTAGGAATATTTATAATTTTATTTTTATATTTTGGGCACTTTCGCCAATATCCATTTATACTCCTTAATTTTCACTGAGTACACTTTTTAACTCCAAAGTGACTCAGATTCATTTCATTAAGCCTTATACTTAATTTTACTCACTAAAACATGCTTAATTATTTAACTACATGTAATTTGCTAATTAATTAGGTTAGGGATATTATATGTACTAGGAAATTCTACAAGAAAGTGGGAGACAGTGAATATCAAACCAATTTAACCAAAAAGCTTAAGCTGGTCAGTGAGACTATATTAATAATTTTATATATATCTAATATTAATTTTTAGAAAACAGCAAATGCATATATATATATATATTTTTTAGGGCTTATGTTTTCTTCTGCAACAGGAATGGAGATTCTTTTCCTGCACTCACAACAACAGTGTTCATTTGTTTTTTTCTTTTTGTTTTTTTAATTATAAAATGGGCTCTACGTAGAAAATTGTCTCACCCACATGAGATAAGATATTTCCAGCAAAATAAGATAATTATTTCCCTATTTTTTTAAAAAGAAAGAGTGTGGGCTGTCAACGGGGTATATGACTGAATGGTGATCCAGGAGCACAAAAAAGCTCTCACGTTCAAAGTGTGCAACTGCTCCCATGTTTGAACTTTTAAGATTGTCTGCGCACTCTGCACGGTGAGTATCATTTGGAGTTTGGAACAATACGCTGCACGGAAAAATTTTGTATACTCTTCAAATAACTTTTTGAGTAAAAACATTTATTTCACTTTTGTCTAAAGAGTCTGTCGCTTCTCATGTGACTGTTGATGAGAAAAGTTGCAGCAAATTTTTAACACTAGGATACACGTGCGGATCCTAGGATACACGTGCGGATTCTATAAAAAAAAAAAAAAAAAAAAAAACCAGGATTCGAACGCGTATCTTGTGTTGCTGCACTTTTTCTCTTCTGCAGTCACATAAGAAGTACTTTCCCTTTTCTAAATTGTATTAGAAAATGGGAATAGTTTGCTTAATTGATATTCAACATCCATCACACTTAAAAAATTTGAAAGAGTTAAAGCTTGTTACTTGTAACTTACATGTTACAAGCTTGATAGCTTACCTTATAAACTTTTAATGATATATGAATATATGTTTAGACGGATGAATTGGTAGTGTAGCATTGATGGTTAAGGATCGGCTCAATTGATGACATGGATATATTCAAAGGCCGTTAAACAAATTTATAATTAGTGTAACGATCCGAAATTATTTAAAAAAAAATATAATGGAGCCGCAACTAATTTTATTTAATTGAAAAAATTGGAAAACAATTTACCTTAACATATTGATCTTCAAATCAAGGTTTAGGAATTTGGTTACGCCAAGAAATGGTGAAAACTTAATCCCACTGTACCACTTAATACTTATACATCCATTTTAAAAAATGGTTACATTGAATTAGTTGTGCAAATTTTTAATACTTTTAATGTATTTGTTTAACCCAAATAAAACAAGATGAATAATAAAATTATTTACAAGAAAATAAAGCTAAATTATAGAATTTTTATTTTGAGCTTAACGGAAAAATTCCGCTCCAATGTATTCTCTATTGTAATGAGGAACTCAAAGCTATGTCGTTTCTTGAAAAATATTTATGGTTTGTTAAATTTAAAACTTTTGAAAGTTAATTCACAATTGCACAATGTAAAAGATAGCATAACTACACGTATATCCTTATGAAGCATACGACACTTGAGGGTGGCCAATCACACAATCAACATCGTATATCGTCGTGTGAATTAACGAAAGTTTAAAAAAGATTTATTAAAACTTATTTTTGGTTATAAAGAAAATGATAAGAATTTTGTTTTGAAATTAAATCAATTTGCATGGAGTCCAAGATAACATTGGTATACGAAGACTCTTATGATATAAACAACACTTGATAATGGCAAGTCATACGATCAACGTCATCGACCGTTGG